CAGGCAACCCTATTTTCCTGGTGGGGCTTCTGCTCATCAGACTTGAACTCTGTGCTCATTTTCCCACCACTTGGTGGAACTAGATGTCCTGCAATGCACATGGCGTGACTCATGGTCTGGAGTTATTTTCTGGTTGTTTCATGTGGGCAGGTTTGATCTCAGCGACCTGTGAGCCCTTGGAAGCTGGGGTTTTATCCCCCCTATTCTTCCCTCGCACCCCAAGGCCTAGTTTACTGTTGTGCATTCTGAAATCTTGCATTGTTGTTGATGATGGTAAAATAAATATCCTCTCCCTTGTTATACAGGCATACTCAGAATCTTGCTCCTCTCCTGTCTGTTAAAGAAAAAATTATTCAATGGTACTTGTTAAAGCATGGTAAGGAAGACTTTATCAGGACCACCATCGTAGGTACAGGGACCACTGCAATGAGATTTTGCAGTGGGGGAGAGAGACTGGGCTCGACTCTGAACACAGCACGGGCAAGTGGGAATTTATAGCCAAGGAGCAAGGCGGGAGTCAGTGGACAGAAAGTTACTAAGAGGAAGCCTCAGGGGTGAGGGGGGTTCTGGCTAACCTGACCTAACAGGATTCTGGCTGAAGGCAGCCAGGGTGGTCAGACATCACCAGGGGATGGTGGAGGGTGAGGAACTGATCGCATAGTGAGGATGACCAGGTACCGAGGGTGGGGAGATCTTGCCATTGCCCGGCTGATTTAGCAGGGTTCTTTGCTGAAACTGGAGTTTATGAAGAAGGGTACAGACGAGCCTAGGAGAAGGTTCAGAAACCTGACTAAAGTTTGGTTAAGCAGAGAATCTTTGTCACCTCTTGAAGTGGGCCACCTCCTGAGGGTTATGGTGTGAGGGATTTGAAATGCCCGCAGCCTGCCCAGTTACCAGGCAGTGCAGATGTTGAATGGAACACAAAAGCGCCCCATGCTGCTCATGGATAGGACGATTACACACGTGCCGCATGGACACGAACTCTGCCTACTCTGCCCTGTCATTTCCTCCCAAGGATCCACCCTGACCATGAGCCCCCTCGCAGACGGCAGGCTCTCCAGCCCACTTTGTGGTCACAGACAGCTTCCCTCCAGAGGGCGCAGTTGAGCAGCAGCAGTCAGCTCCCTGCGGGGCAGCAAACAGGAAAGAGCCATTTCCACGCCTGTCCTGAGGCGGACAACGCAAGGGATGTGGGGGTCGGAGGTGGGAGGTCAGAGGTTGGCTCAGTGACCACGCTGCCCCGAGGGAGCCCTGAGCAGGGCAGCCTCTCTCCCACCACCACAGGACTGGGGCTGGGAAGCGGAAGGCTGAATATCTGGTAGCAGGATCAGCCTCTGCTAAAGCTGGACATATTATTCGAGTAATAAGAGATTTTGTATTCAAGAGATGTGTGTGCATTTGCATGTTTCTGTGCATTTCTGCCTTAAAAGGACGGTATCAGGATGAATAATGAGGAACTATATAAATGGTAAGGTATTTTAAAAATTTCATTCTAAAATAAATGGTCATTGGCCATTTATTTGCTAAACAGAAAGGCCCTCTTTGGGGATTTTATCTGAGACTGTCCCAGATGATCTGATAGCAGCAGGGAGGTGGACAGGTGGGGGCTCACAGACACCCCGGGTGCAGTGGCAGCAGGAGCTGCTAAACCTGAACACCAGGGGAAGCGTTACCTGGGGCTCTGCTGAGGACACCCTGCAGGAAGCCCTAACCTAAAACTTGGGCTTCCAGTTGTAGGGTTGTGGGCTGAGGGGGTAGAGTCAGAACAATAGGAAACCTTCAGTTTATCGAGTACTTACTATATGCCAGGTACTGTAATACACTACTTCTACCTCCCGGCCTTACAAGATCGGTATGAATTATTCCCAGTTCACAGATGCATAAACTGAAGCTTAGAGGTGGAGTCACTTACCCAGATGTCACATAGCTAGTGAAGAGCACAGCTAGGGTCTGAGTGTGGGTGGCTTAGTCCAGAGCCTGGGCCCTCATCTCGGCTACTTCAGCGTCCCCATCTCCAGCAAGCCTTGCCGCCTGTCCTCCCTCCCTTCCTCCTGCTTTCCCTCCTAGACTGGGAGCTCTCTCAAGGCAGGAATAGTGTCCCGCTTGATTTTGTTTTCTTGATACCTGGCATAATGCTTCATATATAGTAGTGATGGCCACTCGATACATGTTTTGTGTTGGTATTGATTATCTAGCTAAGAAAAAAGTGTTTTGTGAGTGAACAGGTGCAGGAATACATGACTGGATGAATGACTGAACCAATGGACTTATGGATGACACAGAAACCCTGGTCCCTTTCAGGGAACTCATCAGGAGGCAGCTGTCACAGGTGTTTCTGCCTTTGCTGTCTGGGAGAGGTACCTGTGTTTCTGGAACAGCAGGGGTGTCCTGCCTGGTACCCTCTCTCTGGCTTTGTTGTTGCTATGGCAACCCCATGTCTCTGCTCCGCTATTCTGCTGCCCCGGGAATAGGAGAGCAGAGGGGCCAGAAGGGCTGAGGTAAGAGACCCCGCCAGCAGGGGGCAGTGCCTGAGACTCCACCAGTGAGGTCTGCAAACATTTCCTGAGCACCTGGCAGGTGTCTGGCCCTAAGGGAGGCATGTGCTGAGGGAGCCCCCAGGGAACACAGACTCACAGGCGAGAGGAGGCGCTCCAGGCTGGAGGAGCTTTAAGGAGCCCTCCTAGGAGCAAGGGTTATAATCACTGTGGTTTTTGCTGTTATTTGTCAGGCCCTAAAACTAAATGCTTCACACATGCCCTTTTCACTTCCCTTCTCAAGGACTTTATAAGGTGAGCAATACTTTTCCTACTTTACAGTTGAGGAAACTGAGGCAAAAGCAAGGCTCATAGAAATGATGAGACTTGCTGAGCTAGGACACGGCACAGCTGGGATTTGAACACGGAGCCCACGCTGTTAGCCCCTGTGCTGCTTATTCTGAGTCCCTCAGTCTCATTGGCCTTGGCACTGGCTTTGTCATGGGGGAAGTCTGGGACCTGGTGGGCAGGACCTCACGTGCAGCCCCCACGTTGAGCGGACATATGGACAGAAGGCAGGGGGCTGCCCTCCCTTGTTTCTTCCTGGATCATTAAATGTTCGGGCTGAGCAACCTTGCTGCTTGACATGATATCTCGCCTTGTTCTGGATGCATGCAGTTTGTGTAGCTTCCCTGCCTGGTCAGATTATAAAATGCCAAAAAGAGATAACGAATCTGTGGAGAGGGCTTCCTAGGAACAGCACTGGGCAAGGTGGTGCGTATCCACAAGGGCTGAACGCCACTGACCTCAAATCTGGCTCTACTTACAGGTCTGCTGTAGTCTCACTTGATTCCTGGGGTGGGGGTATGTAGGGTACATATGGGCTGACTCACTGTCCTGGGCTGGGAGATCTTGGGGCTGATCTGCAGCTTCCAGACCCCTGAGGCTGATTCAGCACTAGCCATGCCTTTTGGAAGAGACTCAAGGGCATCGTCAGTCCTTGGGGGTCCAAGCACTATCCCAGGAGACCTTTGGCCTAACATAGCCCAGTCCACCTTTGAGGAGTAGGTGTGTAGTAAGGCCGTGGGGGCTGTGCCAGTCATCTCTGGCCAGTTGGGAAGACAGCCAAGGGTGGCTGATGAGAAGAAACAGGATGTGAGTCTTTGCTTTCTATTTCTATTCTAAATAAACTTACTCCAAACATCACTGACCAGTGGGTTTGAAAGGAACAGGTCTGACAAAACTCTTCCTAATTCCCTACCCCACTCTTGTCCTGCAAATCTCACTTTGCACTTTTAAGACCTACCTGTTCCCATCAAGAAAAGAAGAAACGTCTTTGAACATCTCTGAGGTTTCTGTGGTTCCATCTTTCTGGGAGATAATTTGTTGTTGACAGTTTTATTTACTGGTTTCTTTGTGGAGCTGTAGAGAAACATCAAAGGATGGAAAATGCCATTTTTACCTATAAAGCAGAGCCCTGCGCGTTGTGCAGGAGCAAATAAACCAGGCTTGGGCTCAGATGAATAGAGTATAAGCATTTGGGAGACACAACAATTATGTGGATTTGATTTTCTTTGGGGAGGCTCTTCATGTTTTAGAGAGTTAAACTGTTACAGCTCAAACTCAAAGCTAATCTCGTTCTCATATTCCCCGTCTGCAGGCCTTGGAGCCACACAATTTCACTTTGAATTACTTGTCACCCTTCTTTGATCTTGGCTTATTTTGCAGTCATTGGTCATGTGTTCCTATAGACCCACTTCCTTGGGGACGGAGCCCTTGTCTTATACTTTTGTTCCCCTACAGTGCCTGACCCAGGTGGATTCAGCACATGGTGTTGTTCAATACTTGTTAAATACCTTTTCCTCACTCTTTGGTCAGGATGATTGAATAAATCCCACCCAGTAGTTCTTTTTATGTTAAGGCGCTTGGTGGTGAATCCATATACAGCAAGTTGGTAAGGACAGAATGCAGTGACTACCAGGAGAGGAGGGATCACTTCAAACAGGCTTTGTGCACTGAGATGTTCACTGCTGTATTGTTTATAATTGCAAAAAAGTGGAGACAACTTATTCCTCAACAGGGGGGGCTGGGTAAATTAGGGTACATGCATATAGACAGGGAGGTAAAAAGCAGCTGTTTTAAAGAATGAGGTAGAACCTAATGTTCAAAAAAGATATCCAAGAAAAGTTAGATGGTATGATACTATTTATGTAAAAAAGAACAAAAGGGATCATCTTTTATTTTCTCCTGCATAATGTGGGGCTCTGCTTTATAGGTGAAAGTGGCATTTTCCATCCTTTAATGTTTTTCTACAGCTCCACAAAGAAACCAAAAAATAAAACTGTCAACAACAAATTAGCTCCCAAAAGTAACCCCATAAATCTCAAAGGGACACAAGTGGACACATACATAAAAAAATTTTGAAGGATGCACAGGGAATTTAATATTGGTTATCTCTGGGGCATGTACTGAGAAGTTGGGAGGGGACCTTTAATCTGTTACTTAATTTTTCTGTCAGTAGTTGAATTTTTTAATTATGACTGTACTGTTTTTGTTTAAAAAAAGAAACCAAACTAGTTAAACAAACAACCTATCTTTGGATGGCAATGAGAACAGTTAACTCTAGAAGAGGCCCCTCCCCGGGGGTGGAGGGGACGGCCAAGGCGAGGTGAAGGCACTGCTGCCCTTTGCTGTGTGCTTCTTGGCTGCCTCTGCCTTCCGTCCCCTGGCCAAACCAAACAGCCTTCCAGCTCTGTCCCATGAGGTAGGGACTAGACGGACCATGAGAACCTTCTGAATCACACAGCCTGGGAGAGACTCGAGTTGGGACTTCCTGGACATTCAGTGACCATTGCCAGCTGCCACCAGCCCTGCTCTGGAAGCTGGCCATATACCCCACAGCCCTGAACACGGAGCTGCTCACATAGTTAAGAACTCCATAGTTGTGGGGCGAATCAACCACCCATGGCTCACCACTGCTTGTTGCATGAAATCCATATTTGCCTTAGATTAGTGTTCAAGGGTTTCCGTGGCTCAGCCCTACTCTACTTTTTCAACCTTATTTGCCACGATTTCTCAGTATATACCAATATATTGGCCAGCACCGCCTGGGTTGGAATCCTGGCTTTGTTACCACCCTGTGACCACAGACAAGCCACTTAGTCTTTCTGTGCCTCAGTTTCCTCATCTGGAAAACAGGGAGGATAAGAACAGCGCTCTTCCCATAGGACTGGCATGGAATTATATGAGTTAATATACATAAGTGTGCGCAGAAGGGTACCCGGTACACAGTAGGTGCTGCTTCAATGCTGCCTGCCTCTTCGCTTTCCCACCTTCAAGCCATGGTTCTGGCCGGAATGCTTTTCCTGGTCACTGTCCTGCTCATCTTTCAGGGGCTGTATCGGGCAGCAGCCCCCCATGAGGCCTTCCCCCATCACCTCAGGTATCAGTGGTTCTTGGACTTCCCGCATCACCTGGGGAACCTGGTGAAAAGCAGATTCCTGTGTCCAACTTCTAGAGATTCCACCAACATCTGTGGCATGGCCATGAACCTGCCTGCACCCAGGCGATACCCATATGTGTAGTGCAGGGCCACACTTGGAGAAATAGGCACTCACTGGTCTTCTTTGAACCCATTAGCACTGCATTTTGATCCTTCTTGTGGTGCTTTTTGTGGGTGAGTACTTGGAAGGCCACCTTATGCAGTCCCTCCCAGGGGCACGGGCTTGGTCCTATTCATTTTTCTATCTTCTGCAGTGCCTTGCGCATGTGAGGCTCCCCATAAATGCCTGTGGACTATTAATGACCAGCTAGGAAGAAGTACTCACCGTCTTTTGCCTCCCCCATCCTCTCTCTGCTTCTCACATCTACTGTGAGTGGGTGTACTCGAGAGAAGCCGGTGGTGAAGCTGATGCCACCTGGACAGCAGATCCCAAGCAGGCTAATTGGATTCTCCCAAGTCTATCTTCCAATAGCTCCGTGGGAAAAGCAGTCCACTTGGGTTTCCTTTAACTTTCCATTTGGAAAGGAAGTGAGAAGGCTTCCTCAACTAGGGGTGCCATCAGTCACTCGGGGGAAGTTTAAAAGTAGAGCCTTGCCCAACCACTTCAGATTGAATTCTGGGAACCATATAGGTTCAAGAAGGGGTCTGGGCAATTGACCAGGCTCACTAGGTAATTTGGATGGCACCCTTGGTTATGTATGAACCAGAGTGCTAGTCATGAGTTCTCAACCAGAGCTGTTTCCTTCAGCAAGGCACGATGATGGGCTGGTGCTTTTGGGGACACAGGGCCCTCCCCCAGCTTAACCAACCTCTTGGCCTTGGGCCAGCCCTGTTCATTTCACCCTTGTCAGGGATGCAGCAAATACAATCCTGGAGCATTTTGCAAAGCACGTGAGCAGATGCTGGGTAAAACCCAGAATCCTTGGGAAGGAAAAAAAGACTCCTTAGAGAAAGAGGGTGGGGACTGTTAGCGGAAAGGCCAAAGTGCCCTAGAGGACTAGAAATCCTCCATTTAAAAGACAATCTCTTTCTTCAAAAACCAAAAGCTTCCTGTTACTTCCGGCTCCTACATTTCTTAGCATGCATCAGCTCTGTAAAATAAGGTCTTGGGCTGGAATGCGCCCTACAACCGGCTTTCAAAGGCCCTTTCTGGAACTCTGCAGGCAGCATACAAGTTGCCTCAAGACAGGCTAGAAATATTCTATTTTGTTATTTTTTAAAGTTTGCTGAAAGTGTAAGAATAAAAGGGGAGTGAAAGCATCTCGTCAATAGTCAATAGGAAATCCATCCCCTCCCCAACTCTGCCCTAGGAACCTCACAGATTTCCTGAAGTTAAAAGCAAACACTGTGACTTTTTCTACTCCTTGCAAGATTTAGTTCTTCCTTTAATATAAATAAGGCAGTATGAAACACCAAGAGCCCCACTGCTTTCTGCTTCAGAAGCAGCTTTGGTACACAAAAGATTGCTGTTTCCCCACTGAGTTCTACAGTCTCTGTATAAACAAGAAGCCAGAAGGTATTTTTACAGTGAACTTTCTCCTGGAAGCAGAGGGGAAGCCGAAGGAGAGCCAGGCTTGGTTTTGGCTTCTGGAGCTTGGTTTTTGGTTGCTGGGGTCTCTTCAAAGCACAGCGGGAGGAGGAAGAGGGGAATGGCAAGGGCAATAATAAATAAGGAAATTCGCTCTGATTCTAGAAATGCATTCGGCGGAATTGGGGTGGTGGTGCTCAGGGCTGTGGTTAGAGACACACTTGAGCAGGTTTATCCCCTGGTGTGCCGGGCTGGTGGCTGGGAGCCTGGGGAGGGGCAGACCCAAGCCTGTGCTCAGTCTAACTCCCGCTCACACAAGAAGTCTTCCTATAGGCTCCCTTGCCCTGGCCACAGCCAAGCCTCCCCACTGTGAATGAACCCTCAGAGGCAAATGGTCCATCTTCCTGAGATTTCTCAGGCTGGGTGAGAGGGCTCCCAGGGCTAGGGGAAGTAGCGCCTTTCTTTGGTTCACGGTGAACCTGGGCACCCCGTCGAGTTGGTTATGCTGTCTGGGAGGCATGGCTGGCTTAAACCCTGGAGCTGCAGCTGCACCTGGTGGAGGAAGTGGGTGGCTGGAGGCAGAACACGGTAGAGTCTTAATTCTTGTGTTTCCTCCTTGGCATCACTGAGGTGATGTTGAGAGAGGAAATCTCAAAGGGCCAGTGAAACTGCAGGTGGATAAGAGGCTTCCTGACCCTCTTGAATCAGACCTGGAGATACAGCCCAGCTGCAGCTGCAGGCTCTGGCACCCACCCAGTGACCACAGCCCCTGGCAGTGCCAAGGTGTCCTCTCTGAGGCCTGGGGGCTGTGCCCACAGTGCTGTCCCTGTGGGTCCCAGTCAGCTGAGCCTCTGCTCTTTGGGTCTGGGTCATCTGTGTGATCAGCAAGGCCCGTGCAGTAAGGTGGGTTCCGGGCAGTGAGGGAGCCCTGCTGAAGTGAGGAACTGGGGGGGACTTGGGGCCTGCAGACTAGAGCTGGGTTTCCACAGCAGCTCTTGCTTCCAAGCACACCCTGCCCTACGACTGGGACCCTGGGACAATCCAGGGCTACAGCATCCCACGCCCCTGGGCTCTGCAACTTCCTTTGAGCTGGGCCAGACTGCAAGCCAGATCCCAGCACCCTGGGTACCAGGCTTCGTCCTCTGCCCCAGTCACCGTCTGTGTGTCTCTTTCTTTAGATCAGCTTCCAGCATCAGCATCTGCCCTCCCCACCACACTGGTGGTCAGAGAGACCAGCTGTGAGGGTGATAAAGAGAGGGGCCGCTGAGCTGGCACCCAGCATGGTAAATGACACCCATGGTGCTTGGGACATGGCACGCCAAGTGGAAGTGGGTGCACCCAAGTGAGAAGTGTAGCTGAAAGGCAGCCAACTTCAAACTTTTCTCTGCCATCAAGTACCCATTCCCATGTGACAGAGACATTAGCCACTTGGGACCTCGAATCTCTAATAGGTCTTTTCTCTAAATAGTATAAAAAAGTGGCAGCCACAGTGACAGCCCTATTGTTGTGCAGGATGTGGATCAAAGGTTCTGTCTCTGTTAATGCTTTGGCTGCAGATGGCTGGGGGCAAGGGTTCCTGGGATTAGGGGTGATGAAACAGGTCCCTGTCAGCATTCTTATAGATCCTCTGCTCTTATTCTAGTACAGACTGGACCTTGGATGGAAAGTGAATTACACCAAAACCAATGACTGCATCGTTGCTAATTCAGTGTCCACAGTGTTCTTTCATCATCTTGGCCATCTGTGGTGATCCAGAAGTAACTTGTAAAGGATCAGTCCCCAAACCCAAACAAGAGCTTTACCCACAGGCCCCAATGGCATGACAACAAATCAGCTTCTAGTTGTATTGTTTTCTCCGCACTGGAAGGCCTGGCTTCCTGGCAGGCTGAGCCATGGCTCCCACCAAAGCCTGCCTTGTTCCCAGGACAGGGCTTGCAGATGCCCCGGGGTCTGAACGTGGGGGTTGCCCTCGTCCTGGCATCCCGGGTCCCATGTGCTCTACAAGGCGACAGCTTTTTGGGGCAGGCTGGTGTGGTCTGCAGGGACATGAAGGGAATACTCGCTGATGAGTGCTGGGGCATTCTTGAGCATCTCATAGAAGGAGTCCACTGTCTTACGGTAGAGATTTCGTTGCAGGACGAAGGGCCGGAAGAGGTTGAGAGGCTCAGCCTTGCGCACAGCCTCAGGGAGTCCCATGGCCTCCGGCACCTTGTGGTTGCCGATGAAGAAGTGATGGAGCTTTTTCTCGAGCAGGCTCTTCTCCAGGAAGCAGAGCAGCTCATGCAGACGAGCATTGAGCTGTCCAGCCTTCCAGTCAGTGGCCTTTCGGAGGAGCAGGAGGTGCAGCAGGGCCGTCTTCACGTGGTAGGTGCTGAGCCCGCTGGGCCCGGTCAGGCGGCTCTGCTTGGAGAGCAGGAAAGAGGCGATCTGCAAGCAGCTGAGGTGGCAGGCACCCTCGGGCAGTGCCTTTAAGGTTGTTCGGAGGAAGTGTCGCTCATAGACTGCAAAGGACAGAAGCCAGTCAGTGCTGGAGGCTGAGGTCCCCCAGGAGGGCTCCCTGGGAAGGTGGGAGACAAAGTACATGTCTGAGTCATCACACTGGATCACAGGAATCAGGTGGAAGGGCATGAACTTCCCTGAACGGAACTTGATCTTGAGGGACCCTGGGCTGTCCAGCTGGCCAAAGGCCAGGTCGAACTCGTACTTGTGGGCGATGCGGTGCCAGGCTCTGGTGAGGGCTGTCTGGAACCACTTCATGACCTGCATCGTGTCCAGGTAGGGGGAATCACTGGCACACAGCAGGTCTTCCATCTCGCCACTGGGCTGCACCAGGTTGTTCCTGCCGTGGAGGAGACAGAGCATGTCTTCCCCCAGCTTGGTCTTGCCACAGATACAGCCCAGGGCATCCCTGTCGGCCCGGACCACCTTAATCTGGCCGTAGCCCTGGCGATCCAGAGGCACAGAGCGGCTGGAGCACCAGAGCTCCGGGTGGAAGCGGTAGGGCTCTGGGGGCGTGAAGGGCACAAAGAGGTGACACACCAACGGCCTATCCGCCTGCCAGTTCTCATACATGCTATCCACGCCAATGAAGTCCTCCACCTCCATGTCTGTGTCCCGATTGCAGAGGCTCCTCAGGGCTTCCAGCAAGTCGTCCACGAAGCCTTCCACGAATTCCCGGGTGCGGGCAGCGTCTGCCGTGGCCCCCCGGATGCAGCGCTCATAGAAGTGGCTGAGGGTGGCCTTGTCGGGCAGGGTGAGGCCTCTCAGGGGGGCGCCCCCCAGTGCAGGCAGCTCGTCCTCATCACCGCCCAGGCACTCGGGCGAGGGCCCGTCCTGGTGGTCCTGCCGCCACACCTCGATCATCAGGAAGAGGATCATGCAGAGGGTGCTCCAGAGGTCCCAGGCCGCGCGGGCCTCATTCTGCTGCCTGCCCTCCTCCGCCACCCGCTCCAGGGCCTCCTTCTCGGCCGCCAGCCGCGCCACCTCCTCCTCCAGGCGCAGCTGCTCCAGCTGCAGCTTCTCCTGGTGCGCCTGCATCTTGCGGATGATCTCCTCCTCGTTCTCGGGGACCGTGGCGTTCTCCCGCGGGAACAGCAGCGGGTGGTTGATGATGGCCGTCACCACCACCAGGCACACCCGGAAGAGCCCCATGGCCATGGCCCGAGCTTTCCTGGGAACAGAGAGACGGCAGTCACGCCAAGCTTCCCCCAAGGCCACTTCTTCCCCGGGCCCTCGCACCACCCTCTGCGCCCCAGGTCTCTGTTCTCCCGCCCTGGCCACCGCTGCCCTCCCTGAGATCTTCCCAGGGGCTCCTTGGGAGGAAGAACCCCAAAGGCCTCCACCGGCGGCGGCGATCTCTTTCTGCCCGGACATTCCCCTTACTAGGAGCGGCCCCCTACTGTCCCTGGGAGACAACCCTTTCCTCCCGCCCACTCCCACGGCTGGGGCGGGGACAAATCCACCCCCAGGGTCCAGGGGTGGGAGCGTAACCCTCGCCCAAGACTGACTTTTCTACCCCGCTCCTCAGCTACAGCAACCGTGATTGGTTCTGGGATGAGCATGTGACCCAATTCAGGCCAATGGCAGACAGATGTTAGGATGCATCTGGACCAAAGATCCATCCTGTTGTCAGGGTTGCCGAGGAAACAGGATTACGCCTGTAGGGGTCTCTCAGGAAGGAGAGCCTCCCTAAGACACCAACATAGAGAAAAGCAGACCCCTGCCCCATTCAGCCGTGCTAGAAGCCATTAAGTCAGTTGGAGTCGTTTTTTTCTACCACCTGAAACCAAAATAGTCCAATAAAACATCCCCTTTTACTCCCAGTGAATGCCATCTTCCTGCAATACAGTAGAGCCTAGTAGTTAAAGGAGAGAGAGAAAGCTAGGTTCCAAAGCCAGCCCTGACACTGAACAGCTGTGTGACTTTGGGCATGTTAACTGACCTCTCTGAGCCAGGTTTCTTTACTGTACAAGAGGAAAAACAGTGGTATCCCACAGGGTCACGGTAATGATAGATTTGATAATCTGTGCAAACGGCCTGGCCCGGTAACCAGTGCATAGCCGATATTCATTGAACAATAACTTCCTGAAGTAGTTGTGAGCCCTAATATTCCTCCATTGTAAACGTCTTCTGATCTGGAAGACCTCACCCCGAATTCAGACTCAGATGCCCTGGCCTTCAGTCTTTCCCAGGATAATCTTGGCAACAACCAGAGAGTAACTGAGTCACCGGTTTCTTCTCAGAGGCAGCTGAACTTTAAATCTGACTTCTTAATTGTGAAAGGGGGTACTCCATTCCCCCAGGATAAATGGATTTTTAAGCCTTGAGTGACTTTTGGGGAAGGGCTAATCCTCAGAATCTTTGCAATTTCAAATTGTGATCCACAGACCAGCAGCTGCAGTGTCTCCTGGGAGCTCACTAGAAATGCACAATCTGTATTTTAATACCATCCAGATTAAAATCTGAGAAGTGTTGCCTCAGTGTAAGCCTTACTTACACACTCTCTTCTTCCTCAGCAGCAACTATGGGAATTAACAATCTGTTATTTCCACACTTGCCAGCTCCCTTCCTGCCTGACCAAATGGCCACATGCAAATCAACTGAGGTCCTACGATTGTTGTTGGACAACAAAGAGAACACCAAGTGCTTCTCCCACCCTACCATGCTCTGCCCTGCACCCCACTACCCTGCTGTGCATGCAGGGTAGTGGGTAGGACTGAGCTCCATCCCCTTGGGATTTGAGCCCCTGACCTTGAATTTGCACAATGAAATTCTTGTCCTAATGGTGTTTAAGAGCGGGGACTTGTCACCAGGTGAGGATACTTCAGGTTGCTCCTAAAGTATCCTAAAGTTCAGGATATGGATGGCCTGAGTTGTTTGCCAGCCACATGTGGGCAGAGCTTGCCACTCACATGTGACTCAGACACTTCCACCCCATGCAGAGCTGGACAGGTCAGCAGGAGCCAAAAAGGTTGGGGAGGGAGGTCCTGTGTGGAGGAAGCAAGCTCAGGCCTCAGGGATGAGCTCTGAAGCACTCACAGGTTTCCCCTTGAGGAGGAAATGGAGGACAAGAGAAAGCGGAGGAGGTCACACTGGCAGGTGGGTGGGGTGGAAAAAAGTGTCAGGAGTAGCAAGCCAGCTTTCTTCCCAACCCCAGGAGCAGCTTGCTGGATGATTGCAGAAACAGGTCAGCCCTGGTTTCTGCATCAACGGAACTCAAAAGAAAGTGTTGCCAGGGTGGTCCAAAGCATAACTGTAAGGCAGGTTGATTGATGTGGGGGAGAGATTTAAGATAAAGGCGTGGAGTGATAATAGTGAAATATCAGGCAGCATTCGGTTGGGAAATAATTTGGGGGTTTTGGGGTTCTTCAGGGCCCCTGTAGTACAGGCAGCCACCTTTAGGCACAGCAGGTCTTGACCAGTCACCGTAATAGCCCTGGCAGGAGGGAGTCAGTTTCCATGTCAACTCAGGGGAGGATGCCACCGACGGGGGAGTGGTGCCATTGCCAAGTCCTATGACTGGGAAGCCCTCCTGGTCTCCACCCCATACCTTCTACAGCGCCACCTGCATACACTTCATGCCTCTCAGAGGAGGAAGGGCTGTAAGAGCCTCCTGGCCGTGGGGCAGGAAGTTCAGAACCCCAAACCAACTGGACAGACCTGTTGCAAAGGGTCAAGAGGACAGACTCTAGAGGGGACAGACCAGGTGTACCTAGCATGTGCACCTACTGAAGGTGACCTTGGACAAATCAGTCATATTTGTCAGAACCTCAGTTTCTTCATCTGTAAAATGAGAATTATAAAACTTGCTGTAGTAAAGCTTGAATAAGACAAAGCAGGCAAAGCACAGAGCAAAATGCTTGCTCCTGAGCAAGTTTTCTCATAAAGGGGTAGCTGGGCTGGGAATACACAGATGACTTTGCCTGCAGGGATCCAGGATGGAGTGGGCCACACGGACGCCCCTACAAGGAACGTAGGCAGGATGCAGGCAGCCCTCGGTAACACTGACAACTGCAGGGTTACAAACAAGACCCAGTAGGAGAAAAAAAAAAAAAAAGACTCAGTAGGAACACCAGGGAAAAAGAGGGCAACAAAACAGAAGGCGCCCAGGCCATGAATACAGCTGACCTGCATTTGAACCTTGATTCTTTCCCCTGCTGGGCGATCCTGGGTGGTTCACTTAGCTTCTCTAGGGAGCCCATGCTTTGCCTGTGAGGAGTTAATAACACCCCACCCTTCTTAGGAATACTGAGAAGGGTGAGTGAGGTAACACCTTGGGTGTTTAGCACGTTGCCTGGTGTGGGGTGAGCTCCTTACCCCTCAGCACCCACAGGCCTCTGCTTTCTCACCTGCCAAGCACACCAGCCCTGCCCAAGTCCCAGGGGCATGGAGCAATGCACGCTCAAAAGTGCTTTGAAAGCACAAAACGCTCCGTTGTTGTTGCTGGTACTTGGCACATCCCTCCACCCACCCTGGCCCCCAGCAAGTGGGGAGAAGGCTTCAGAGCCTGGGATCCTCCTGCAGGCCAGGAGTTCCCTCTGACTCACCTCCTCACTTAAGCCATCTCCCCCACTTCCCTGGCATCGGGATCCCAGCTGTCATTCTGCTCCTCCTTCAAGTCTGCCAGGCTGTGTCTGTAGCACCCTAAGGGATGGGCAGGGGGGCCCGGGTGGGGTGGAGAATGGGGCTGTGGCTGCTCAGCGCCCACTACATGGGGCTAAGTTTGAAGTCTCTGCCACTTCCCCTTTCCAAACCACGCCATCGGGAACACTGCCCTGGGGACCCTGGGCGTCAGAAGAACAAAGGGAAGGAATCGGGTGACATTTGGCGACGGGACAGGTGGCTGGGAGCCTCCCACACACATGGATACTCACGGGTACATGTGCACTCACGAACTCACCTCCCCAAAGAGCCCCTTTCCCCTGAGTGCAGAGTGTCCATGTCCACCTTGGCCCAACACTCTCATCTCCACCAGGCTCTCTCACACCTGCAGTCTGTGACATCAGCTGGTGGCTTTGGCTTTTAGAATAAACCTGGGCCACTTGGTGGGGTTTTGTCTGACTGCTAGCCAGGAAGCCGGCGGGAAGCCTGCTGAGTTCCTCTCCACCCCCGCCCTTGCCCACAGAGAGGGGCGGCCCATGCAGTTCACAGCTAAACTTAGCCTGGCAAAGGGCCAGGGTCACAGGAAAGCAGGGGCTGAGGGAAGACAGAGGCCTCGGGTGGGCCTGGGCAGCGGGCTGCAGGCGGCTGCCTGGACCAGTGGTTTCCTCAGACCCGTACTCTGAGGGATCCGGAAGCCCGAGACCCTGGGGAGAGATCTAAGATGGCGCCCTTCCTTCATGGGGGTCCCTCACTCCTGGGTCCCCAGAGCCTAGCCCACTCCCCACCACAGCCTAATCCAGCGAACACGGCTAAGAGTTGTCTCGTAGCCATAGCTTCTGTTCGCCAAGCCCTCACTAGGATGTGCTGGGCTCTGTACAGTGACCGCTGTAACTTGCTAAGAGGTGAGTGTGATCCCTGTTTCGCAGATGGGTTACCCAAAGCCCAAGACACTAAGTAATTTTCTAGCCACAAGACTAGAAAAGTCATAGCTGGGCTGAGATTCATGCCCATTCTGTCAGCCCAAGTTTTCCACTGTGCTACATTTACAGAGCACACTGAGCTTGTGGAACATGCTGGATGCTTCAGCGACCACAGTGATGCGTACACATGATCCATGGCAGTAAAAACATTACAGTCCACGCGGGAAGATAGACAGCCACGAATGCAGTTCCAAGACAGAATGAGATGTGGGGCATAAAGGAACATGAGCTATAGGCTACAAAAACGCAAAGGAGGGGAGAGTTTTATTCCTGTTCTCTGGGGGCCTCTCCTTGTCTGGAGACCTTCCCTGTCCCCACCTGTTGGGGAGATGTGTGTACCCCCTCCGCTTCATATTCACCTCCTCCCCTATAGGAATTCCACACAGAATTCCTACAACAAACCAGGAACAGTGGGAGCCCGAGTCGGTCCCACACCTGTTCATCACACCCCTCTGCGCCCCACCCCCACTCCCACTCAGGGTTGGTCGACTGTGGCCTTAGCTGCAGGGGCACCCAGGACCCATTTCTCAGCAGCCTGTGTGCCCTCGGGGACAGTGGTTCTCAACGTGTTTCCCAGCCACAGCATCAC